GCTTCTGGGCCGTCACCACGTAGTTGTAGGACATGGCGGCGGCGGCGGGGCCCGGCCGGGCAGAGCGGGGGGCGCGGGGGGCACCGGGAGCACCGGGAGCGGGGCCTCAGCGCGGCCTCTCCGCCGCCGCCACCGCCGCCTCCCCTTCCGCCCGCCGCCGCCGTGACGTCAGCGGAAGGGCCGCTCTGCGCCGCTCTGCGCCGCCGGGAGGACCGCCGGGAGCAGACGAGACGAGAGGTGCGGGGCGGCACCGGACCCCCCCCCCCCAAAAAGGGTCAGGGAGGGGGCCCCGCTGCTGGGGGGCGCCCCCGGGACTTCCCCATCCCGGGAGGGGGCCTCATGTGTCAGGGGGTGCCCCCCTGGGTATCCCTATCTCCATCCCAGGAGGGGTCCCCATGTGTAGGGCCGCCCCCCCGGTCCTCCCCTCCATCCCAAAAGGGATCCCCTTGTGCAGGGCTGCGCCCCCTTGACCCCCTCCCCACCCCAAGAGGGGTCCCCGTGTGTAGGGATGTGCCATATGGCATCCCCCATCCTGGGAGGGGTCCCTCTTTGTAGGGCTGCCCCCAATGGTCCCCCCTTTCCCATCCCAGAAGGGATCCCCCTGTGTAGGGCTGCACCCCGTTACCCCCCCACACCCCAAGAGAGGTCCCCATGTGTAGGGTCACACCCCTATTACCCCCCCACACCCTGGTAGGGGTCCCCATGTGTAGGGTCACACCCCCTATTACCCCCTCCCACCCCAAGAGAGGTCCCCATGTGTAGGGCTGCACCCCCTGCTACCCCCCACACCCCAGGAGGGGTCCCCACGTATAGGATCGCACCCCCAGGCCCCCACACTCCCCCTTCCCCTGCCCTCCCCAGCCCAGCCCAGCCCAGCCCAGCCGGGATGCCCCCATGCAGTGTGGGGGGGGGCTGGACCTTGCCCTCCCTCAGCCCCCGGCAGAGTTTGGACCCAGGCCGAAGGCTGCACGGGAGCCACAGCACGGGGACAGCCGACGGAGCCGGGGAGCCCCGCGTCCCTGCGTCCTCCCCCAGTGCCACCGGGACCCCCAGGAGTCGCCGTCCCACCACGCAGCCATGGAGGTGAGCCGGGGGCAGCGCGACGCCCCTCGCCCCGCTCCCCGTCCCCGTGTCACCACCTCTCCGTGCCCGCAGGCCCCCAAGAAGCTGGTGGGCTCGGTGGCCGGCTGCGCCGACGACACGCTGGCCGGGCTGGTGGCCTGCAACCCCGGGCTGCGGCTGCTGCGGGGACACCGGGTGGCCCTACGAGCTGACCTGGACGCCCTACGGGGACGCGTGGCCCTGCTCTCCGGGGGGGGCTCCGGCCACGAGCCCGCCCATGCAGGTGAGTGCCCGCAGCCCCGTTGTGGTGCTGCGGTGACCCCATCCCCAAAATCCCCGAGCCCTCCCGGCCCTGCTGCTCCACAGGGTACATCGGGAAGGGCATGCTGAGCGGGGTGGTGGCCGGCGCCGTCTTCACCTCTCCCGCCGTGGGCAGCATCCTGGCGGCCATCCGGGCGGTGACGCAGGCTGGGGCAGGTACGGGGGCACCCTGGGGTGCTGGGGGGGAGGTGGGTGGCCCTGCTGCCACCTAACTCCCTGCCCCTCCCCGCAGTGGGGACCCTCCTGATCGTGAAGAACTACACCGGGGACCGGCTGAACTTTGGGCTGGCGCTGGAGAGGGCGCGGGCGGAGGGGGCTGACGTGCAGATGGTGGTGGTGGGGGACGACTGCGCCTTCACCAGCCAGAAGAAAGCCGGGCGCCGCGGGCTGTGCGGCACCGTCCTCGTGCACAAGGTCCGCGGGGGTCCCCCTGGTGCCCCTAAGGGGGGGGGACGATGCGCAGGGGACCCTCACCCCTTGCTGCCCCCCTCCCTTTGCAGGTGGCCGGGGCCCTGGCGGAGGCGGGGGCGAGCCTGGATGAGATCGTCAAGAGGGTGTCGGCAGTCACCAAAGCCATGGGTAGGCGCGCGGGACCCTCCCCGGTGACAGATAAGAGGCACCAGCACGGGGTGGACTTCAGCCCGAGCCGGGCACCCCACGTGCCCGCAGCGTGGCCGGGGCACGGTGGCGTTCCTGCCTCCCCGTGTGGCTGTCCGCGTGCCCGCCGCCTGCCCCGAGATGTGGCACACAGCCCTCCTTCTCCCCGCCACCTGCAGGCACCCTGGGGCTCAGCCTGTCCCCGTGCAGCGTCCCCGGCTCCAAGCCCACCTTCCAGCTGGCCGACGATGAGATGGAGCTGGGGCTGGGTGAGGAGCTGCCCCCTCGCCTCCCCCCTGTGCCAGGCTGCTGGCGGGCGCGGGGGCCACGTGCCCCCGGGTGCCAGCGTGGGGTGACGCTGCCCTGTCCCTGCAGGGATCCACGGCGAGGCCGGAGTCCGCAGGATGAAGGTGAGCAGCGTCCCCTCGCCCCGCTCCTCTCCCTGTCCCCCTCTCTGGCCTCACGGTCCCCTGCACCTTTGCCAGGTGATGCCGGCGGATGAGGCGGTGGAGACGATGCTGGCGCACATGACAGACCCTGCCAACGCCTCCCACCTGCCCCTGAGCCGCGGTGAGCCCCCCCGGGTGTCCCCTGAGCCCCCCCGGGACACCCCCTGCACGTCCAAGGAGGTGGGGGGGGGCTTCACTCTGCTCGCTGCCTCGCAGGTGCTGCCGTGGTGCTGGTGGTGAACAACCTGGGCGGGCTGTCCTGCCTGGAGCTGGGCATCGTGGCCGGCGCTGCCGTGCGTGGGCTGGGTGAGTCTGGGGGCACCCCGGAACCCCCCCCGGAGCTCTCTGCTCCTGAGGGAGCCTTCCTGCAAAGCCACCTCGCTCACGGCCACCCTTAACCCGTGCAGAGAGACGAGGAGTGCGCATCGCCCGGGCCCTGGTGGGCTCCTTCATGACGGCGCTGGAGATGGCCGGGGTCTCCCTCACCCTCATGCTGGCGGACGAGGAGCTGCTGGGGCTGATTGGTGAGCCCCCACGGGTGGGGAGGTGGCACGGGACACGCAGGGTGGCCCTGGACGCCGGCACTCGTGGGCACACGGGATTGGGGCCGTGGATTTGGTGTCTCCCGCTGAGCTGCCAGTTGCCTCCCTCCTCCCCTGCTGCTCCAGATGCCGAAACCACGGCCATGGCTTGGCCCAACCTGGTTGCGGGACCCGCCGTGAGCCAGAGACCGGAGGTGCCGGCACCAAACGAGGGACCAGAGCCGCAGCCAGCTCAGCAAGCGCCCAGCGCAGGTCAGGGTGGCCGCGGGAAGGAGCTGTCCCCGCTCCCTGCCTCAGTTTCCCTGCCTCCCCTGAGTTCAAAGCCAGGCAGGGGGGTGACGTCTCCTCCCTGCAGGGCCTGGCACGAAGAGGGTGCAGCTGGTCCTGGAGCGGGTGTGCAGCACCCTGCTGGGCCTGCAGGACAAGCTCAACGAGCTGGACCGCGCGGCGGGCGATGGGGACTGCGGCCACACACACGCCCGGGCCGCACGAGGTGGGTGCCACCCGTTCCCTGCGTCAGGACACCCCCAGCTGCCCCCTCGGAGGAGCAGGGGCTGCTCCATGATGTCCCTCGGCGGGGAGCGAGGACCCCCAGGCCTTGAAATACGGCCCCCACTGGGGGACAGGGTCCCCTTGCGCTGCTGGATCCCCACAGACTCCCTTTTTACCCCTCTGCCCCGCAGCCATCCAGGAGTGGGTGCGCGCCCGGCCCCCGCCGGCAGCCCCGGCCCAGCTCCTCTCGGCGCTGGCCGACCTGCTGCTGGAGAAGATGGGCGGCTCCTCCGGTGTGGTGAGCGCGGGGTGAAAAGAGGGAGCGCGAATTGGGACCCCCATTTTGTCCCCCCTCACCCCGCTGCCACCGCGGTGGTGATGGGGCTGCTGTCCCCACAGCTCTACGGGCTCTTCCTGACGGCGGCCGCCCGGCCCCTGCACAACCGCAGCGACCTCCCGACCTGGGCTGACGCCATGGACGCTGGCATCGAAGCCATGCGGCGGTGAGTGCTGCAGGACCCCCGCGGGACCCCCCCCAAGCCCCTCTGCGGGCTCCTGCCAAGCGCTGTGCTCGCCACGCAGGTACGGAGGAGCTGCCCCGGGGGACAGGACGATGGTGAGTGCCATCACGAAATGGGAAGCGTGACAGTGTCCCGACGCTGCCCTCTTTCCCTGGGGGCTGTCGGTGGCCCTGGCGCTCAGCCCCCTGCCCGTGTCTCCCAGCTGGACTCGCTGTGTGCTGCAGCACAGGCGCTGCACGCCCTGCGCAGCCCCGGAGCTGAGCTGCTGACGGTGCTGGCCTCCGCCGTGCAGGTACAGGGATGGGGGGGGGACAGAGGATGGGCAGAACGGGATGGAAACAGCCGCACCAGGCGTGCCCTGAGTGCTCCCTGTCCCCCTGGCAGAGCGCGGAGGAGGCAGCAGAAGCCACCCGGCACATGGAGGCTGGTGCGGGCAGAGCCAGCTACATCAGCTCGGCCCAGCTGCTGCAGCCTGACCCCGGGGCAGTGGCGGCGGCGGCCGTGCTGCGCGCCGTGCTGGAGGGGCTGCGGGGCTGAGGGAGGGCGGCCGGCCTGTGGTTGCCCCCCCTCGGCTCCCTGAGGCTGCGGAGGCGATGGGAGATGCGGCAGCATGCCCCCAGTGTCCCCAGTGAATGTTTGTGGTCCCCAAAAGTTGGCTCAGTGTCTGTCCTTGTGCAGAGAGGGGTGGGGTGGTGGGATTTGGGGCTGGGGGGAGGCGGCTGGTCCCCATGTCGAGGGGGGGAGATCCCTGAGCGTGATGGCTGGGGAGGAAGGAAGCTGCTGGGCCACCCACGAGCCCTCATCTCTGCCCCGTGGCTGGCTGGGGAAACCAGGAGGCTCACATGGCTGCACTCACGGGGTGTGGAGGAAGCTCCAGAAAGGGGGCAAAACAGGAACTCGGGGACCAGGGCAGAGCCTGCCCTGCACCACGGGGTGAGGGGAACCACGCAGCGGCCCCAGCACGGGGTGAGCACAGGGACTGGGTTGGGCCGCCCCAAAGGACGCAGGTGCAAGAGTGCTGCGGAAGCCAGCGCTTTATTAAGCGTCCCTGAGGGCTGCTGAGCTGGTCCCACCACCACACACACATCCCCCCGAGGGGTAAGGCACGCTGCAAGGCCTCCGGCCGACCCCGCAGAGGAGGCAGGGCTGGGGCAGCTCGTGCTGTGCTGGCTCCCAGCACCACCAGTCACGGGGCGCTCCTCTGGCAGCTTCCGACCTGACGAGGTGCTCAAGATGGCACCGCAGGGCTCAGGGGCAGCCGATTTGGCACAGATCCCGGTCCGGGCGTGAGGGGACAGCTGGACCCCGCAAGAGCTGGCAGGCAGAGGCACGAGGACGCAGGCAAAAAGGTGTCCCCACTGCAGCGGTGTCTCTGCTGTGAGGCAGCTGACCCCGGTTCTTCCCACCGACAGAAGAGCGTTGGGCACAGGCAGCCCGGAGAAGGCGAGGCGTCGGGGCAGGCGGGAGAGCAACGGGGTCGGAGAGCTCCAGGCTGGCAGCCCCGGCACGGCAGGGGGAGATCTCGGAGGCGTCAGCGCTCAGTGCCGAGCAGGGGCTGCAGGGAGATGTGGGTGAGCCTGGAGCCTGCGCTCCCCTGCCCAGCCCAGCCCAGGGACGGACCGGTTGGGGCTACAGGGGGTGGCAGACCCCCGGCTCGGCTCCTCAAAGCCACCCTGGGAGCCGATGTGCAGCACCACAGCGCTGCGGGTACCTGGCGCGTGTCCGTGGAGCCGTCCTCGGGGCGCTTCCAGTCGGGCTTGGCCAGGGCGCACAGCACCAGGACCCCAAAAAGGACAATGAGGAGCCCCAGAGTGTTGGCGAAGACAGCCTCGGGGGGCAGGCGGTTGTAGGGCACCGGCGCTGTCCCATTCTTCCTGCGGAGGAGAATCACAAGGCTGGCTCTGTGCCCCCAGCACAGCTTCACTTGCTACAGCAGGAAGAATCCCACAACCCCAGCAGCCCCATAACACCGCTCCCGTGGCTGCCTGTCCCGTCTGAGGCCGTCCCAGCCCCCTGGCCCCTGAGGGTGCTGCTGCAAGGAGCCGCCAGTGGCTGTTATACAAAGCAGCACGGGGCTGGAGGTGACATCTGGAGAGTCACGACCCACCAAGAGCCTTCCTCATCACGTCCAGCCTTCCCCGCAGCCCACATAACTCCTTATCCACCCTGCAGCAGGGAGCTGCGGTGGTTAACCACGCACCTGGGCCGGGGGGAAAGTTTTCACTTCCCTTAGTTAAGCCCATGCTTAGTTTCGGTTGATAGCACTGCAAGCACGGAGATAAAAATACAGTCCCAGCTCCCCAGCCTCTCGCCCCGCGGGGGCTTTCCCCGTCGCTGGTCCGGCAGAGCCCCGCTGCAACACTCACAGGCTGAAGAAGAGCTTCTCGTTGATTCCCGACACGCAGGATGCCACGGAGAGCATGAGGATGGTGGAGCCGAAGAAGACGTGGACGGGCTTGTAGAGGGCACGGAGCCAGGGGGGCGCGTAGGGCAGCAGGAAGGCGCTGAAGCCAGCCAGCCACTGCGGAGAAAGGGATTGAGGAAGGGAAATTTGGGGGGCTGGGACGCAGGGCGGGTTGGGGGGGATGGAACACGCACCCACCTGGCAGGAAAAGAGCAGCACGGTGGCCAGCCCCAGCCAGCTGTGCAGCGAGTACATGTTGGGCGTCTTGGAGGCGTTGTGGAAGCCGAAGACGGCCACCAGCCCCACCACCGTGAGGCCGAAGGCTGTCAGGGCCAGGGCGCCGTGCAGGAGCTTCCAGGGGAGCTTGGGGCCGTGCCAGGCGGGGGGCAGGCGGTACACCAGGGCCGCTGGCGGGGCGAGAGGGGTCAGGGGGAGCCGGGGGGGACCAGGGGGGAGCAGGGGAAGCACGGGGGGTGCAAAGGGGAGCAGGGGGGAGCAGAGGGGACCAGGGGGGGAGCAGGGGGTTTCTGCCTGGCCACTCACCTGCTCCGTAGAGCACCACCATGCCCGCCACCATCAGCACCGGGTGCCAGTTGAACATTCGGGCGCTGCCGTCCCAGGCGAAGCCCCCGCGCCAGCGCTGGCACCAGGCGGCCACGAAGGCCAGGCAGAGGAGGCCCAGGCCGGCCAGGAAGGCGCAGAAAGGCCGCAGGGGCACGGCCAGCATCGCGGCACCGGGGGGGCGGCCGAGCCTGGAAGGGAAATTCGAGCTCCGTCAGCCTCCCCGCCCGGCTCCCCGCTGCGGGCGGGCACCGGGGGGAGGAGCCGGCCCCAAACGGGAACCCGCACCCCGGGGGCGGCCCCGCCGCCAGCCACACGCCTCCCGGGGGGTGGAGGGGGGGGAGCCCCGGGTGCGCCCCCCCCCCGTGCTCCCCGCAGCCCCTCACGCACCCGCGGGCTCCCTGCGCCCCCCCCCCGTCCCCGCTCCCCCTCACCGGCCGCGGGGAAGCAGCCCCGGGCCCCCCCCCGCCGCCTCCGCCGCTTCCCCCGCTTCCCCCTCGCCCTCACTGGGCGCCGCCATGTTGGGGGGGGACGCTCTAGCCGCCCGACTCGGTGGTCCCCCCGCGCCGGGCAGGGGAGAGCCGGGGAGAACCATAGAGAGCGGCGGCTAGAGCGGCCCCCCCGCGCTTCCGCTTCCTCCTTCTCTTCCTCCCCCCTCCCCGCGCGCGCCGTTGCTATGGAGACGCAAGATGGCGGCCGCGGGTGAGCGCTGGGCCGGGGGCACCGGGGGGAGCCGGGCACCGCCGGGACGGCACCGGGGGAGGCTCGGGGGGGAGCTGGAGCCGCTCGGGGGTGGGCTGGGGCCGCTCGGGGATCGGCGGGCTGCGAGTCCGGGGGGTGATTCCCAGCCCCGGGGGTCCCCTGGTAGAGAAGGGCCCGGCCCTGCCCCCCCGGCCCCTGCCTCACCCGCGCCTCCCCGCCCGGCGCCGCGGGGTGAGGTGGTGGGGAGCGCTGCTGGGGCACGGCCTGGCCTGCTCAGCGCTGCCGGGGAGAGGTGTGAGTAATCTGCCCGTGGTTCCCTAGGGCTCGCACGTCCTCCTCGTCCCCTGTGGTTTTTGTGTTTTTTTTTTCGTGTTTGCTCCGTGAAATCGGGGGCAGTTGGAGCCTGGAGGGTGGGAGAGAGCGGCCAAAGAGAGCCCCTGGGAACCGTCAGGACGCGCTGTGGCTTTCACCCCGCTTTGAGTTTCCTGGCAGAGGAAGGTGGCAGGGTTCAGGAGCTGGGCTCCCTACCAAGCAAAACCTCTGCTCCCCCCGCAGGTGCCAGCTGTAGGGAGCGGCGATGCTGAGCCCCCGATGCTGAGCCCCTGGCACCACACCATGAGCTGCCTGCACCGCTGGGGATGCCGGGGCTGAGGGCTCCAGCCCCCCGGGAAGGAAGATGCTCCAGACCAGCAATTACAGCCTGGTGCTGTTCCTGCAGTTTCTGCTGCTGTTCTACGACCTGTTTGTCAACTCCTTCTCGGAGCTGCTCCGCACAGCCCCTGCTGTCCAGCTCATCCTCTTTATGTGAGTGCCAGCAGGGCAGGGCAGCGGGGCAGAAGGGCTGGGCTCTCACCGTGCCTCTCCTCTCCCTCAGCATCCAGGACATCGCCATTCTCTTCAACGTCATCATTATCTTCCTCATGTTCTTCAACACCTTCGTCTTCCAGGCCGGGCTGGTCAACCTCCTCTTCCACAAGTTCAAGGGGACCATCCTGCTGTCCGCAGCCTACCTGGCGCTCAGCATTTCCTTCCACGTCTGGGTCATGGTAGGCTGGGGGCTGCCCAATTTGCCCAAGGGCACACAGGCAGCAGCCACCACCCCCTGCTGCCTTCTGTCCCTTTCCCAGGAGAGGCAGGGCACGGTTTCCCACTGCTGGGGACGTTTTGGTGTGCCCCCATCCCTGTTGCCCCCCTGATTGGGCTGGTAGGGAGCTGCCACATCCCAGCCCCCGCCCTCAGCGCTGCGACCTGCTGCAAAATCCTCTTTCCCCAGGGAAAGCGTGGCGGCTCTGGCTGCGTGCTGCCACAGAAGCCCCCGCTGGAGCGATCCCTGCTGAAGGCTGTGGCGGCAGCTCCCAGTTTACCTGGGATTAATCCCCAGCAAATGCCCGTGCAGGGAGGCTGGGGGCAGCCCCTTCCTGCTGGCTTCAAGCCCTGGGGGTCCCCTTCTGTCCCCTGTTCCCTGTCCCAGCTGCCAGTCCCCAAAATGGGGATTCCACAGGGCTGGGGCGAGGGCTTGTCCCCACCCCACTGCCCCAGGGACATTGGGGTAGTGCCCGGGGCCGTCCTGCCCACGCTGTCCGGGCAGGGGATTGATGGGGATTTGCAGGGATCTGAAGAGCGAGGCCAGAATAGGTCCTGGCTCGCTGCCCAAATCCCCTGAGCCGCTTAACCTTTGGGATGCGGCTGCTCCCGGAGCCAGCAGCATCACATGGGCCCGGGATCAGCGGCGGCCAGGCCGTGGGAGCCGGAGGTGCTGCCCCCAAGCTGAGGCATGTGTCCTTCCTCCTGTCCCCGTCAGAACCTGCGGTGGAGGGACTCCAGCCGCTTCGTCTGGACCGAGGGCCTGCAGACGCTTTTTGTTTTCCAGCGGCTGGGTAAGGGCTCGCGTCGGCTGGGGCAGCAGGAGCAGAGAGGGAGGCTGGGGGCTCCTGGAGGCCGTGTGGGCACCCCAGGCCCTTCTGGCCGTGACCCCAAAAGGCCTCCCCTCACCTCCTTCCCTCTGTGTCCCGCAGCGGCCGTGCTCTACTGCTACTTCTACAAGCGGACGGCGGTGCACCTGGGCGACCCCCTCTTCTACCAGGACTCGCTCTGGCTGCGCAAGGAGTTTGCTCACTTCCGCGGCTGACGGCGCCGCTCCAGCTTGCCCCTCTGCAACTCCTCTCCCCGAGGGACGGATCCCAGAGGCCGGGGGAGCTGGGCCGGGCCCCTCAGCGGTGCTCTTTGTGCTTCCAGCGTCCAGGCCCGCTGCTGGCGCTGGCGCGGCTCATGCAGACGGCAGGGATCAGCAGGATGCTGGTGTGTCCTGGTCTGCCTCTGCGTCACAGCCCCTGGTGGGACTTGGGTGTTTTTGTGGGTAGTAAAGGAATAAACTCGCTGTGTTTTCCAGAGGCTGCTCTGTCTGTGCGTCCCTGGGCCCTCCTGCTCTCCCCTTCCGCGGGGAGCATCCCTGCCTGCTGTGGGGAGAGCAGGAAACGCAGGGCCAGGCTTCTGGGGGGGGGTCACAGAGCGGGTTGGTGGCCCGTATGGGACAGACACACGGACAGGGGAGCCGCGGGCCTCGAACCCGCGCCCCCCGCCCCCGGTCCTCCAGAACCATAGAGAGGGCGGGCAGAGCGGCGCGCGCTCCCCGCCGGTTGCCATGGAGACGCAAGATGGCGCCCAGGGGTGAGGAGCGCGGCGGGGCCGTAACGGGGACCGGGGGTGGCGAGGGGGGTGGGGGGCTCGGAGCGGGGCCGTGACCCCCCCCTGGGCTCCCCCTCAGGCCGCCAGCGCTCCTCGGTGCCGCTGCAGGTGCTGCTGTTCCTCAACGGCTGGTACAGCGCCACCTACTTCGTGGCCGAGGCCTTCATCTTCGCCTACAAGGGTGAGCCTTCCTCCTCCCCCCCCCCAGCCCCTCCTCATCCTCCTCTCGCCCCCCCCTCCTCGCCCCGCGGTGGGGCGGGGGCGCTGAGCCGGCCGTGCCCGCAGCGCTGCTGCTGCCCTACCCCGTCAGCAACCTGCTGCTGGACGCGGCGCTGCTGCTGCTCTACCTGGGCACCGAGGCCACCCGCATCTTCTTTGGTGAGTCCTGGGGAAGGGGCTTCCTCACGGCCCTCCCCCACTCCCCCTGCTGCTGCCCCATCCCGGGGGTTTTGGGGGGAATGGGGCAGCCCCCGCCCCGCTGACCGTGCGCCCCGCAGGCTCCAAGGGCAACCTGTGCCAGCGGAAGGTGCCGCTCGCCGTTAGCTTGGCCCTCACCGTGCCGGCGGCCGTGATGGCAGCCTACTACCTGCTGCTGCAGACCTACACCCTGCGCCTGGAGGCCATCCTCAGCGCCATCCTGCTGCTCTTCTACGCCGCGGAGCTGCTGCTGGGCGTCCTGGCGCTGCTCTCCTTCTCCAGGTACAGCACGGGGCGAGGGCAGCGCCGCGGTGCTGCGGGCTGCTCTGCTCACACGTCCCCTGTCCTTCGCAGCGTTGATGCGTATTGAGGCCCTGCACCGGAGCAGCCGAGGCACAGGTACGCGAGGCAGCAGTGAGCCAGCCCGGCTCCCAGGCCCACGCTGGCACCCGTGGGCAGCCCCAGGAGCGGTCTCCCCGCTGCCCGATCCCCTCCGCTTCGCCCGCAGCATGAGCGAGCGAGCGACGCGCCGGGCAGCGCCTGCCCTGCTGCCACCCGGCCCCCCGGGGCTGGTGCCACGCAGCTCAGTTCAAGGTACGGAGAATTATTTTTTTCTACTGTGTTCTCAGAAGCAGTCACTATTTTCCAATAAATATTTATTTTTACCTGGTGCCTGGGCATCTGGCGTCCCACAGGGCAGCAGGCTGGGCATGGAGCGCTCAAGAGCTTCTAGCACAGCACTGCCTGTGCTGCCCCCTGCCATCACTGCCCAGATCTCACCGTGGGGGCACAAAGAGCCCCGTGAAAGTGCCACAGGAGAGTGGGGACACTTGGCTCTTGCTGCCCTTCCCTCCCATGCAGCCTCGTTCCACACAGGGGCCGTACAACGCTCCCCCCGCCACGTCCATCCCCTAAAAGCCCCGAGAGAAGCTCCCTACAGCGCCATATAAAAGACTGACAACGTCATCAAGTTTATTACACAATTTCCAACCTATCAGAAAGACAAACAAATCTAGTCACTGCGAGCAGGAGGGGCAGCGCCTCGCCGGGTGGTTAATAGGGGTTTGCTCTGCACTTTTCCCCACTATTTGGAAAGAAACTAAAAATTTGTGTCGTTAAGTAAAAAAAACAGAACTCTCCCACCAAATGCTCCCCCCAGCACTCACCCGCTAAGCCGGCACCTCATGATACTTTACAGATTTTTTTTTTTTCTCTTTTGTTTTGTGTGATTTTAGCCTAAAAAGACCTCTGGAGCCGGGTTTCTCCTGTCCGGCCACAGTTCAGAGGGCAAGCCCGCCCCGCTGGGGGCTGGAAATCGCTCTGGGTCTCCACCCCGACCCCCTTGGGCTCCTCCAGCACGCAGCCTGTGCCGGAGGGACCCTTGTGGGGCTTGGGGGCTGCTCCCTGGCCTGGAAGCGGCTGCACACAGCTCTGCGCAGCCCCGCCAGGCACAGAAACCTCCTGGCCTTGTCCCCACCACCCCGTCCCAGCCTGCGACCGCGTGACACAGTCGGGGTGCCACCACCCGGTGGGAAAGGGGGGTCAGGGCAACGCCGCAGGGAAGGGGGCAGCCCCTGGCGGGGAACGCGCAGTCCCCGAGGCCCGCCGGCTGCGGGTGGCAGCCCGCCCTGCCTCCTCTGCTTCCTCTAAAACAAGGAAGGCTCTGCGGGAGAGGCCGGCTCCACGCGGGGCCCCGCTGCTGCCTGCTGGCCAGAGCTGCTGCTTTGGGAGAGGTGCACGGCGGCAGCGATCCCGCTGGGACCAGGCACAACTCCCCGCGCCTCCTCTGGCCCTACAGACACAGGGCGTGAGCCGCACGCCTCCAAACCCCCTTGCTGCACGCGCCTGCGGGGGATCCGTCCCCTTCCGGACATACCCCAAAGGGCTGCGGAGAGGAAAAGGCTCACAAACCTCCCTCCGTGGTAGAAAAGCACCATTTCTCTTTGGGTCCAAGTATCCGCAGAGCGGGGCGGCCCCGGGCTCCCCGGCTTCCAGCCTCTCCCCGGGAAGCAGCAGCAGCGGCGGCGGGTGTGGGCGAGGGCTCAGGCCCCAAGGCCACGAGGTGTCGGAGGGAGGCGGCGGGGCGCAGCCAGGCCCTTCCTCGGGTGCCCGGAGAGAGCCGGGGGCGGCGGGGAGAGGGTAAGGGGGTGGAGCGGCCTCAGTGGCACAGTCCTGGTCGAGGTGAGGAGATCCGAGTCCATTAAAAACCACTTACTGCCGAACTCCTGCAGGGCACAGGGAGGAGAGGGGTGCTCAGCGCTGCTCCGGAGACCCCCACAGGCGTCTCCAGTCCTGCGGGAGGGTGCAGCAGCGCCTGGCTGCGGCTCACCTGTCTCAGTGGTGCCGGTCCCTGTCTCTGTCCCTGTCCCGATGCCGCTCGTGCTCCCGGTTCCGCTCCTGGAAATAGTCCTCGTGCCGGTCCTCGCTGTGCAGCAGGTCCCGGTGCCGCCGGCTGCTCTCGCGGGACCGGCTGGGAGAGCGCTCCCGGGACCGGTGCCGTTTCCTGGGGAAAAAGAACAAAAAGATTTTTTGGTCACCTCCCAGGGGGATGCAGCCGGGTCTCTCCCCGCAGAGGGGACAGAGAGCGAGACGCCGGGACGGGCGCAGTACCTGGAGGAGCTGCTGCTGGCGCCCGTGCTGTAGGACTTGGCTTCGATCCCATGCAGGCAGTCTTTGAGGGAGGAGAGGAGGACGCGGCACCGCTCGTCGCTGGCCACGCGGGACTGCTTGATGACGGCGATGGCCGTCAGGAGGGTCTCGATGGCGTCGCTGTAGTCGCCTGGGCGGGAGCGGAGCGGGGCTGAGGGATGTGGGCGAGCTGCGGGGTCGGGGCAGGGGGATGGGGACGGGGATGGGGTCACCGTTACCTGCGCTGGCGCCCGACACCGCCTTGGAAATGGCGCTGCTGGAGATGGCCCGGTTCCGGTTCATGATCTCCTCAAACTCCACCTCGCTCACGGCGGGGTGGCGGCGGGCCGAGTTCCCGGCTGCGCGGAGACACACGCATGGGTAGGGGGGAGTCGGCACGGCTGCCCCCACCCTATTTGGCACCAAGCCCCCTCTCCCTCGCCCTCCGCTCACCTGCTGTGGTTGTAGGGGGCCATGGCCTTGCCGTAGGTGTCCGGCGGGGGCCCCAGGGTGGCGCTGGGCGGGGGGAAGAAGGCCGGGTTGAGGTGTAGGGCCGGGGGGACGGCCCCCGGGGGCGGCACAGCCAGGTGTGGGGGCAGTCGGGGCGGCGGGGGCATGAGGTGCTGGTAGTGGATGCCGGGCGGCGGTGGGGGGACGCCGAAAACCGGAGGAGAGGGGCGGCGGGGGCGGCATGGGGCGGCGGGGGCAGCCCCATGAGGGGCAGGGCGGCGGGGGGGCGGTTGAAGAAGGGCAGGATGGAGGGGGGCTTCTCCACGCGGGCGGGCGGCAGCGCGTTGTCCGTCGGCGTGGCGCGGCCATCCACGGAGTCCAGGGAGTCCCGGGAGTGGGCCCGTGGCGGAACACCTGCAAGCGGCACGGGAAAGGGCCGTGAGCTGTGACTGCGGGCCCCGCACGCCTCGGAGACCTCCTCCTCCTCCTCCTCCTCCCCGCCCGCCCACTGAGGTCCGGTTTCTGCAGAGCTGGAGGTGCCCAGAGATGGATGCAGCCAGCCAAGCGTAGCCTCCGCTTCCACATGCCTCCAGGAGGGCCCCGCGCTCTCAGCAGGGCGCCGGCCGCCCGCATGGGGCGTCGCAGAGCAAGCGGGTTACACGGACGGAGGTGAAAAGCCCCGAGGAACGGGGAGAGGTGGCCAAGTCCCAAGTCCCAGAAGCTATCAGACAACCCAGAGCACCCGCCAGCTGCTGATGGGAAGGGATTTGAACCAGCCTGGGCGTGGAGGGACACCAGGGGACAGAACGCAAGCGCTGACAGCTGGAGGAAGGAAAACTCAGTGCCTGGCTGCCCTAGAAGAGACGGGCAGGAACCCTTGCTATGTCTGAAGAGGCTTTGAGGATGAGCCAGGAGAGGAAAGAGGGGACAGGAGCCCTGGGGGAACTGCCGAGACCACCACAAAGCCTCTCGAGGGAGGCCAAAACTCCAGAAGGGGACGCGCTCTGCTCCACGAGGGCAGGCAGGGACGCCGTCTAACGGCGCTGCCGAGCAGCGACCAGTGCTGGAGCTGAAGGGAGGGGGCAAAGGGCAGAGCGCTCAGAAAGAAGGGCTCTCCTCGCATGGAACGGGGTCACGGATCTACAACGGCCACAGCTGGCCAAGACCTCCTCATCCGTGCTCCTGCCAGGTCAGTCCCTGCGGCTCCGCAGAGCCCCCCGGCGCGGGGCCGGGGTGTCACATCGCTGCGGAGTGAGGCAAGGAGCACCTATTGCCATAGTAGGAAGCCCACGGCCAGGCCCCAGCTGGAATCCTGCGTCCAGTGATGGGCACCTTACCTCCGCAGGGATGGACAAATTCTGGAGGAGATCCAGAGAAGAGCTACAACTAGCTATGGAGGGTCTTAGCTATGCTGGTAGGCTGAAGAGCTTAAGCCCATTCAGTTTGGAGAAGGAGGAGGAGGAGGCTACGAGGGATCTTCGCAGTGTGTGAGCACCTAAAAGGGGATCATAAAGACTCGAGTCAGGAGCTAAGCGGACTCGGCAGCAATAGGACATCACCCCCAGAGGCTGCTGGCAGCGTCCCCCCGCCCCGAGGGCTCGGCCTGACAGCTCGGCAGGGGTCCTGCGGGAGGTGCCCCCCCCCCTACCCGCGGCGCGCCCGCGCCCCACTCACGTTTGCGAGCCTGCGCCTCGAACTGGGACAGGTTCTGCCGCGTGGCCAGCCTCACCTCCACCTTGTCCCCGTTGAGGATTTTGCCGGGCAGGAGCTCCAGCAGCTTGTGGACCGAGTTCTCAGAGGCAACCACCACCTCTGCGTACCTGCGGGGAAGCCCAGCGGTCAGCGGGCAGGAGCCAGCCCCAAGTGCTGCACCCCCTGGCAGGGTAGGACCCCCCCAGAACCCCAATCTGCCCCCCCCCGCAGCACCCACCACTGCCTGACACCAGCCTGGAGCCTCACGTCCCCATCGGCTTCCTTTCCAGGCGCTGGCACTGCCAGGAGCCTGCATTTCGCCACCCCTGCACCCGCTGGGGAAAGCTGCGGCCGCTCGGGCCAGGCTCCCCGCCCCGTTTCCTCCGTGCTCCCCCTCGGCTCTCACCCTTTCGACTGGCCGTTGGCCCGGTTCTCTGCAAACTTCAGCTCCACCACGTCGTAGACGCCGACCGAGCGGATGGTCTGGATCAGCTGCTGGTCCGTCGTCCACTGCGGGCAGCAGGGCAGAGAGGCTGCCGTCAGCCCCCGCAGCCCGTCCCGCTGGGATCCCAAGCCTCTCAGGGCTCCAAACCCCGTTCCCGTTCGCACTTTAGGGTCAAGCCCAGCTCAGAATGCCTCGTCAGTGTGGCCTGAGGAGACCCAGCACCTCCCAGCAGCTCCACAGCCCTCAGGGGCTTCTCTGGAGGACCCCCTGCAGCACTCACCCAGGAGAAGCTGCCCACGTAGACGGCGGCTCTCTTGTTGCGCAGCCCGCTGTAGGTGTAGAGGATGGCAGGGGATTTGTTGTTGGGTTTGGGGGATGGCTCCTGCCGGATCTCGGGGGGCGGCTCCGAGCTGCTGGTGCGGCTTTCGGGGGGCTGCGAGCTGGCTGCGAGCACGTCGTCGTACAGATCCATCTGGTCAGCATTACTGAACTCAGAGTCCTGCGAGGGGAGAGACCGTGAGGGGAGGCCCGGGGAGGGGAATGTGGCTTGGGAAGGGGTCCGTGGCCACGCACGGGGCTCTGTAGGATTGCCCTGATGTGCTCAAGTCCTCTAAAACCCCCCCCCAGCAGAAGCCAACTCTCATCCCCCTCTGGGTGAGCATGAATGAAGCTACAGCGCGTTCTCCTCCAGGGCTTCATCTGCGCAGCCAGAACTCCCCCAGGCCCAGCCAGCCCCTCTCCACTTCTCCACCACCCTGCGAAACCGCGCAGCACCCTGGGCTGGCCAAAAATAAAACCCTCGGCGTGTGGAAACCCCCGGGATTGTGCTTCCTCCCCGCCGGCACGGAAATCCCTGAGCCTCCCCGCTCGGCACGGAGGAGGGGCAGCGGGTGCTGCACCGCGATGCTCAGCGTGACCCTGCCACAACGTGGGGAGGGGAAGGATGCTCCCGGAGCAGAGCCACAGGGCTGCACGGGGCTGACTTTCCCCTTCCTGATTTCACCCACGAGCTTTTCTCTTTCCCCACACACTTCCCCCGCGTGGGCAAAGGGCTGGCTCGCCGCGAGCTGCGCGCCCGGGCAGGACTCGGCTTGCTCCTCGCACCAGGAAGCAGCTGGGCTCTCGGCGATACGCACCGGGACGGGTTCAGAGGCAGAAAACCAAACTCACTAAGCAACGCCTTGCCCGGCGGGCAGCGCGGCTTCCTCCTGCTCCCCCTCGGGCCAGCCGAACTCCTGCGGGGCCGCATTTGCACCACTGTGCCCTGTGTGGCACGGAGCAGCCACCCAAGCAGCTCCTCAGCCACGAAATCGAGTGTCCTACATCCGCCGTACCATTCCCACTCCTGCTCCGTGCTATATTTAATTTGGAGCGTACGGCGAGCGCCGTGGTTACTACGTCCCTTCGTCCTGATGGCTCGCCCGGATCCAGTGCTGGGGGAACCAGCACGAGGTGGTGAAACCCCTGTGCTGACAGCCAGGGAGCTGCAAGCCCACAGCACTGCAGGAGCTTGTGGTGCCCCCGGGGAAATTTGCTCAGCACGCAGCCCTCGGGGGCTCACGGAGACACAAAATCCACGCCTTTACCCACAGACACCCTCTGACAACCACGGCTGTTCCTCAGGCAAGGCGTAACCGCCCAGCGTCCGGCACTTTCAGCTGCGGAGCTGATAAAAAGGCTGCAGGAATATCAACAGGGCCAAGTATTTTCGTTCTCCTTCTCAAAACAGCCCAGCTGGTTGCTTCGGCTGCCTCCCACGCCGCTGCCCCCCCTGGCAAGGCCCAAGGCTGCAAACTTTCTGCCTGAAAGGTGCCTGACTTTTGGCGAGTCCCGCACAACACAGGCAGCCGGGGCAGAAATCCCTCAGCTGTGGGACGCTGCGGCTTGGGAGCTGCTGGGGATCCTCCTGCTCTGCTCAGCTTTCGGTGCTCTGCTGTTTAAGAACCGTGGCGCTCCCAGCAGATAACACACAGCTCGTGGTCCCGGCACTTGGGGCATGCTCCAGCAGCTTCTCACCCTCGCTGGCACTTGGGGCCAGGCGGCCCTAATCACTTCCAGCTCCGAGAAGCCACCGGCTCTGTCAAAGCCCTTTTGTGCCCCGTGCCCCAGCCCCTCCGGACGAACCTTCCCATGCTGACTGCGGCCAGGTTCATGCAGCTCTCTCCCCGCGGGCACAACGGGCAGCGCGGGGCCCTGCGGGCGCTCTCCTTCCCCAAACCTCCTGCGCTCAGCCCCCCGCCTCTCCCGTTCCCGTTCCCATTGCCGGGGGGTTCCCCGGGGAACGTTCGGGTGCCGGGGGCTGGCGCCCTGCTCTCCCCCCGGTGCCGCCGGGGAGCCCCTCACCTGGTTGAACTCCTCGTCGGCGTAGATGTCGATCAGGTCCACTCCCTCGGACATAGTTCCCGACGGGGGCCGGGACCGGGGCGGCACCGGGACCGGGACCGGGACGAGCAGCAGCAGCACACTAAGGGGGGGCACTGCGGGACGGGGGGGGGCGGCTGTCACTGCCGGTGCCCCCCGGTCCCCCCCCAACTCCCCCCGGTGCCCCCCGGTGTCCCCACCCCCCCCCCATCCCCTCCCGGTGCGGCCTCCCCGCGGCCTGGCCCCCCCCCAAGCCCGGTTCCGCCCCCCCCGGCCCGGTGCCGCCCCCCTCGTCCCGGTTCCGCCCCCCCCCAGCCCCGGTCCCGGTCCCGGTCCCGGTCCCGGCCCCGGGTGCAAGGGGAGGGGGTCGCGGCCCCTCCCCGCCCCCCCCCCGCCCCTCCCGGTGCCGCCCGCAGGCCCCGCGCTCACCGCCACCGCCAGCGCCGCCGCGCCTCGCCCCGCCCCTTCCGGCCTCCGCCCGCCCAGCCCCGCCCCTTCCGGCCGCCGCCCCGGGTTGACCATAGAGACGGGAGGGGCCGCGGGGGTAGAGCGGCTCCCTGGGGGAGGGGGGGGGGGAGGGGGCGGTGGAGGTGTCATGGCGGCGGGCAGGGTGAGAGGGGAGGGGAGTGGGGGGGATTGGGGGGAATGGGGGGCTGGGGGAGGGGAATGGGGGCCTGAGGGGGGGAATGGGAGCTTGGGGGATGTAGGGGGGAGGTTATGGGGGCGGGGGGGGGAATTGGGGGCTGTGGGGGGGCGGGGATTAGGGGCATTGGGGCCTTGGGGGTTGGGGGGGATTGGGGGGGCGCATGTGGGGTGAGGGATTGGGGCTGGGGGGGGTAAAAGGGGCAAGATGTGGGGATTGGGGGGCTGGGGAGGGGGAATGGGGGGCTGGGGGACTCGTGGGGGGGGTGGGGGGGGTTAGGGGTAGTGGGGGCTGCGGGGGGTAATGGGGAGGTGTGTCGGGGGGAATTGGGGCCTGGGGGGGTCGCATGTGGGGTGTGGGATTGGGGCCTGGCTTGGGGTGGGGTGAGGATTAGGGGCAGGCAGGGCTTGGGGGGGGGGAATTGGGGTGCTGTGGGTGGGGAATTGGAGTCCAGGGGGGTGGGTGGGGATTAGGGGCGGTGGGGTTGGTGTGGGGGGGTGTAGCCTGGGGCTGTGTTAAGGTTGGCACCTGACGCCCCCGCTGCTGCCCCAGCCCCTCTCGCAGCTCTGCTCGCTGCCCCGCTGGGCCCTGCACCGGCCCCTGCTGCTGTGTGCCCAGCGTGGCTACTGCGGGGACTCGCCGAGCGACTCGGGGAAGGACGTGCTGGAGATCCCCCTGCCCCCCTGGCAGGAGCGCCCCGACGAGCCGCTGCCCACCAAGAGGGCCCGGCTGCTGTACGAGAGCAGGAAGAGGGGCATGCTGGAGAACTGCATCCTGCTCAGGTGAGGCACGGGCTGCCCGGCCCCCCCGGCGCTCAGGAGGCGAGCGTAGCTGCCACGCAACTCAGCTCACTGCTACATCCCCTAATTAGCAAGGAAAAGCTCTGGGCGTTGCAGGAATCAGCTTGATGGGGCAGGGCTCGGTCAGATCCCAAGCCCTGAGGAGATGTTGTGTTGCTTGGGGGGGAGCTGGCAAGCATCTGAGGAGCTGCACCGAGCTGTCGGATAAATCACTGCTTGGTCGGTGCAGCTGCTGGCAGGACGGTGCCAGAGGCAGCGCGTGAGAGGTCTGGAGGAAGCTCCTAGCTGGTGGCTGAGTCCAAAACCCTTGGGGAGGATTTTTGGGGCCTCCTGGGCTTCTCCTGTGGTAGGTAACAAAGCTTAACCCGAGGTGTAGGGCAGGAGGCAGCACACAGCAGCTCCTCCCAGCCCTCTGGTGTCACGTAGAGAGCCAGGCAGCAGCTGCCGTGCCAGCCCTGCTCTTCCTCCACGCCCCACACTCATCCTCCTGCCTCCCCTTTCCAGCCTCTTTGCGAAGGAGAACCTGAACCGCATGAGCGAACGGCAGCTGAACCTCTACGACCGGCTCATCAACGAGCCCAGCAACGACTGGGACATTTATTACTGGGCCACAGGTACGTGTGGCCACCGAGGTGGCACCGGGCTGCAGGAGCTGGGCTTGGTGTGCTGGGCGCCCTGGGGCTGCGTGGGGCCGCTCTCCTTATTTTTGCTCTTCTGATTTTTCCGCTCTTCTTATTTTTGCCACAGAAGCGAAGCCCACGCCAGCCGTGTTTGAGAACGAGGTGATGGCCATGCTGAGGGAGTTTGCCAAGAACAAGAAGAAGGAGCAGAGGCTGCGGCAGCCGGACCTGGAGTACCTCTTCGAGCCCCCACGCTGACGGGTGGCTGTCGTTCCCCCTCCCCGCCCTCTGGAGCAGAGGAGGGGCAGCGGGGGCCCTGCAGAAACACCAGTGCTGCCGCCCTCCCTGCTCTCCTCCTCCTCTGGCAGCGGCTCCCGCGGACTCTCAGGGCTTGATGAATAAAGCTGTGGCTGCTAGCCCTGCCGCTCGCCTTGCCTGGCTGCCCCTCCTGCTGCACGCCGGGCTCTGCTCTGGGGTGGAGGTGGCAGCCGCGGGGACCTCGCTCCGCTGCGTGCCAGGGGGTGTCCTGTGGGCCCTCAGCCACCCCTGGTGCTCCTCAGCCTGACCCTGGGAGCCCACAGTGCCACCACAGCTGGTCCCCAGCGCCCTCCGCAGGGTGTCCCAGCCGGGCTGGTGTCCCCAGGCAGCAGTGACAGTCCCTGTGTGGCCGCGGTCACCGCGCGTCACCGTGCCGGTTACCTGGAGACAGCACGGCGCTCCCGGCTTCCGCAGCGACGTCCTGCAGCCACCGGGTCCCTGTGGTGGCACCGTGGGGACAGCGGGCACCCCAGCAGCATGCCGTCCACCCGTCCGTTTGTCTGTCCCCGCGCCAAGCTGCGCTCCCTGCCCTGGGGCTCGCCTGCCCTGGGGCTGGGCCCCTTCAGCGCGAAGCCACGTGCAGGGGACAGCGGGGACCTGATGGATTTCTACGCCACCACCTACGCCGTGGCTTACGGTAGGGCTGTGGGGCAGCCCTCCTCCCCCCCCCCAGGAGCTGTAGGGGGCTCACCAGCCTGGCTGAGCCCCCCTGTGTCACCCAGGCCACCCCGGTTTCCGTCCCTTCCTCGGCCACCACGTGGGCGCTGGCTTCGTCTCCAACACCCGCTCCGATGCCGCTGGCCTCATCCGCCCGCGCAGCGCGGCAGGGGGGTGCGTACCCCTGCGGCGGGGAGGGGACAGGGGCACTTTTTGGGGCCCCCCTGCTCACAGCCGTCCTGAACTCTTGCCACAGCCCCTTCTGGGACACCACCATGGCTGAGCACTTCCAGCCCCTCCTGCTCCCCGACGGCCGGAGCCTGCTGCCGCGGCATGTCCACCAGCCGGGCAGCGGCTACGGCCGCGAGCAGCCCCTTCCTCACCTCCGTGCTGGGGCGGTGAGCCCCCCGCCCGCCTCCGGGGAGCATGGTGCTGATCCTGCCCAGACAGGTACGGTTTTGGGGGGACAGCTCCAAGCCCGGGAAGGTTTGGGGGTCCCAGAAGCCCGCTGCCCTGCACAACCCCAAAAAGCAGGGGGATGCCCTAGGCTGTGCGAGCTCCAGAGGCAGCAGGGCTGAGACCCCCCACCCTATTTCCCACCCCACAGACGTCCTGCAGAGGACAACCATCGGTGCCAAGGAGGAGACGGGCTTCACCAGGGCCACCCCATTGAGCGGCGTCATCCTGCCGGCAGCACCGGGCCAGCCCTGTGAGCCCCCAGCCCCCTCGGCTCCCCTCTTCCCCCTCCAACACCCGACACGCAGTTTCTCTCCCGCAGCTCGGGGCCAGCACCACCACCACTGCACTACCTGCCCCCCCATAGCGGCACGGTAAGAGGGACAGGGGTGGCGAGGTGACCCCCAATTGAGGGACCCCCACATCCCATCCCTCCCCATCCCAAACAGGGCGGCAGGGCGCTCCCGGTGCTGGCGCGGGGCTCCGACAGAGGCAGCGGCTTCAGCCGGGAGACCCCCCTGAGCGTGCCGGTGAGTGGCTCCCGTCCCGTCCCCGTCCTGTGTGTCCCCCCCCCAGCCTCACCCGCTGTCCCCACACAGGTCTCGCCCCGCTGCCCCCCGGTCCTGCTCGTCTCCCGGGGGCTGCAGGCCCCCCTGCCCAGCCCAGGCCCGTTTGCGGGGCCAGCAGAGCACCGGCAGGATGGTGGGTGCGCACCCCGACCCTCCCAGTACCCCCAGTACCCCCAGCACCACGGGGCTGGGCGCCCACCCCTCTGTTCCCCCCATAGGAGCCGTCGGGGTTCACCACCAACAACGGCTGTGCCGCGACCCCCCTGTGGACCCCGAGCCCCGCAGCACCAGGTGAGTGCAGCCGGGATGGGGGGCGCGGATACGGGGTGGGGGGGCCCAGCCCTTACCCCTCGCCCCTTGGTTTCACAGCACAGCCCGGGCCCAGCCGCACGGCGCGGCCCTGGGGGGGCGTCCAGGCCCCGCGGCACAGCGGCTTCGGCACCAGCAACCTGCGCACGGCGCTGGGGGGCGGCGGCGGCACCGGGCTCACGGCCCCCACCCCGTAAAAAAAGGCTGGGGAGGGGCATTAAAGGAGAGGGGGCCGAGGGGGCGTGGCTTCGAGATCGGGGGCGTGGTCAAAGGGGGAGGGGGCGTGGTCTGAGCGCGATGGGGGCGTGGTTTACGCGAAGGGGGTGTGGTCCCAGGTTAAAGGGGGCGTGGTCTGGGGCTAGGGGGCGTGGCCATTGATGAATAGGGGGCGTGGTCATGGCCAAGGGGGCGTGGCTCCTGCTTCGGGGGCGTGGTCTGAGCGCGGAGGGGCGTGGCCTTGGGTTTAGGGGCGTGGCCTAGAACTCGGGGGCGTGGTCTGAGCGCGATGGGGGCGTGGTTTATGCGATGGGGGCGTGGTTTATGCGAAGGGGGCGTGGTCACTTGTGAATAGGGGGCGTGGCCTCAACCAAGGGGGGCGTGGCTTTGGTCTCGGGGGCGTGGTCTGAGCTCGGAGGGGGCGTGGTCCCGGCCCCGTGGGCGTGTCCTGCGGGTGGTGGGGGCGTTCCCCGCGGCTCCCCGTGCCCCCGCCGTGCGGTGCCGGGTGCCGGGTGCTGGGTGCCGGCAGCTCCGTGCGTACCGGGGGCGATGGGCAGCGGCGGCTCGGCGCGGCCGGTGTCGGCCGAGGGCCCCGGGGGCTCGGAGCAGCGCCTGGAGGTGCGCGGCGGGCGGCTGCCGGCGGCGCTGTGGGCGCAGCGCGGGCTGGTCAAGCTGTACCTGAGCGGCGCGGGGCTGCGGGAGCTGCCGGCCGAGCTGGCGGCGCTGCGGCACCTCCGCACGCTGGCCCTGGACGGCAACGAGCTGCTGGAGGTGCCCGAGGCGCTGTGCCGCCTGCCGCGCCTGGCCTACCTCTACCTGGGCCGCAACGGGCTGCAGGGGCTGCCGCCCGCCTTCGCCCGCCTGCAGAGCCTGCGCTGCCTCTGGCTGGAGGGCAACTTCGTGGCCCGCTTCCCCCGCGCCCTGCTGGGCCTGCCCGGCCTGCGCAGCCTGCAGCTGGGCGACAACCGCCTGGCGCGCCTGCCCCGCGCCCTGCCCCGCATGGCCGGCCTGCGCGGGCTCTGGCTCTACGGCAACCGCTTCGAGGAGTTCCCCCCGGCCCTGCTGCGCATGGGCCAGCTCCGCGTCCTCGACCTGGACCGCAACCGCATCGCCCGCTTCCCCGACCTGGCCGGCCTGGCCGGGCTGCGCCTGCTCTCCTACGACCACAACCCCGTGCGGAGGCCGCCCCGCGTGGCCGACGCCGTGCAGGCTGGTGGGTGACGGGGCGCAGGAGTACATGGAGGCGCGGGAGGAGCGCCTGCAGGGCCTCCGGAGCCAGGGCGAGAAGGAGGAGGAGGAGGAGGAAGGCGCCGAGGCCTCCCCGGCGGCCCCTGGGGATGGCTCCCCGCTGCTGGGGGACGCGGAGGGCGGCGGTGCGGCCCTGCCGGGCTCCCCCGGGGAGACGTGAGGTGCTGTGCTGCAGCTGGACACCCCCAGGATGTGCCACCAGGCTGCCGAGGACCAGCATCTCCCACCTAGGGCGTGCAGAATGGGAAGCCTGCAGCCTCTGCACAAGGGAAAGCAGTCCCCAATTTGCTGGGACCACAAAGAGCCGCCACCTGGACCCGCAGGGCTCATGGCTTGCATCCACAAGTCCACCTTAGAGCACCCTGCGTAAGCACAGGGCTCAAGCACCGGACAAGGGAAGCCTCCCTCTGCCTGCTGGGCGGCCCTGCAGACCCTGCTCACCCACAGGACAGGCGTCCCTGAGAAGCTGGTGTCCCAGGAGCACGGCTCTGGGGACGTTCCTACACCGAGCTGCAGGTGCCTCACCGCCTCCACGGGTGCCTTTTGCTCCTGCTTCCACGGGGCACGACGGAAAGAAGCAACGCTTTGCATCTTTGCCTGCAGACCCCGTTGCCTTGAAGAGTGAGAAACGCACAAACCTCTTCTGCACGCAGAATCAGGCTCTGGAGACAGGGCTGCAGGCTCACCGTCCCTCTTCCCCTCCTCGAGCCCCATTTGTCCCAAACCCTGGCAATAAAAAGCACAAATCCAGCAAATCTGGTGTGGAAAGGCTTTGGGTTTGGTTCTCGGGGGGGGGGGGGGGGCTGCAGCAGGGAAGGGGGAGGTGTTTGGGAAGGGGTTGAACTCAGCCTGTCAGTGCTGCGCAGCAGGGCCAGCTTATTCTTATTTTTAGGGCTGGATGCGGTCCCGTTCCCTCCGCCCACCCCCGAGCCCTCCTGGCACACCCCGTGCCACCTCTGAGGTCTCGGCTCACCGGAGGGCACAGACCGCGCATCCGCTTTTAATTGCGAGGGCTTGGGCTGGGCGGCCGGCAGCCAAACCTGCGTGCCCACCACATCCTCTGCCTTCTTTGGGGTTTTTCATCCTCTTTGCAGCAGGAGCCGTGGCTGCGTTCAAGGCCATTAAGAAGCCGCTTTCCCTTGAGCAGGGCTGTGCCACCGCCGCAGGGTGCAGGCAGCCGGGGGTGCCGCCAGCCTCTCCCCGCAGCAGGGACGAGATCCACGCACAGGGAAGCATGAAAGGTGATGCTTGCAGACGGGGTCCCTGCCTCTCCAGTGCCTCTTCCCACCCTGCATCCCGATTTCTGGCTCAGGTGTGGGATTTGTGCCTGTCCCGGGCTGGGGCTGGTGTCTGGGACCCGCACGTTTCTGCTCGGCGCGAGCCTTGGGGGCTGCTGGCATTTTGGGGAGGCGTGCGCGCGGCGCATCATCCATCCGTCGGCCTCTATATATAGCCCTGCCTCCTCGCAGCTCCCTGCGCACACGGCCGCGTGGCCTCGCCGCAGCTGGGAGCGTGCTGCTATTTCCATCTGCTCCCGCTGACTGCGGGCACCGAGGTGCAGGCGCTGGGCTCCGCGTGACGGGAGCACCGGCACCGAGCGCGTCACCAGCCCTCCTCCTTCCAAAGACCCCGGTGACGAGGAGAACCGGGCTCCGGTGTGTGTCCCCCCCGCAAAGCACCCCGGCCTCACCCAGCGCCACGCTGCCCCGGGCACATCGCCCCCCTGCCAGCCCCGCGTCTGGAGTTTCCTTTACTTATTCAAGAGCAGCTCAATTATTTATCACAGCAACCCGAGCCTTTGTGGTGCCGCTGGCGCCCCGGGCTCGCAGGCAGCCCGTGTACCCCCCGCTTTGGGGACAGGCACCCTGGTGGGATGGCCCCTGCGCACGGCGGCGTTGAACACAGCGGGTACAAAGCCTCCCGGGGACCAGCCCGCCCCCCCCCCAGCCCAGAGACGAGGCACGCTGGCAGTTCTGACTGTCCTTTATTACTGAGAGCAGGGGCTGCCTCCAGAAAACGAGGGGCCCCGCTCCCCAAAAATAGGATTCTGCAAAGAGGCGCCCCTGCCTCCGCCGGGGCCGTGCCCCCCGTCTGCCCCCACCTCCTGGGATCACCCAGTGCGCCCCATCCACAGCACACCCGCTCACGGCCGCTCTGGGCTTTATCTTTTTTTTTTTTCTTTTTTCATTTTTTTTCATTTTTTTTTTTCATTTTTTTCTCTATTTTACACACCAGTTGGATGTTACCGTCACATGAAGAAGAGAGATACCTGAACAAGATAACGGCTAAGAGCTCTAGAGTTAAAAATGAACACACGGCCCCGGGGAGCCCACCCTTCCCCGAGGAGCAGGGGGGGGCAGGGGGGGGACGGGCACCCCTGCCCTCACACCCCGCTTTTGGGGGACCCCGGCACAGCCCGACGCAGTGCCTGGCACTGGGGGCCCTGCCACCCCCTGGCTTTGTGCGCGAGCCCAGCTGCAGCCCCTTCCCCAGGTGCGTCCATCTCCTCTGTTATGTTAAAAAAAGAGAGAAATGTGGTAAAAATACAAATGTCCCTAAAAGCATTATTATTACTGTAGTAGCAGAATTATGACTTCTCTCCAGATTGTCCGAAATGGTCTAACGGGGGGGAGGAGGGGGGGTCTCCGGTGGCTGCCGGACACTTGCTGGCGGCAGGACAGGGACGGTGCCACCGTGTCCCCAGGGCCACTTGTCCCCCAGCAGCGAGTCCCCTGTGGCAAGGAGGGCAGGCAGCCGGGGGGGGGGGACACCCATGAGGGGCAGCATCCCCTTGATGGCTGCTCCTTGTTTTTTTTTGGGATGTCTGGCGCAGGGTCCCCCACGCAATGAATTGACCCCGGTGGCTGGGGCTCAGCCCGAAAGGATGGCACTGATGCTCGAGGGGGTGTCCCAGCTGCGGGGCACCCCAGGGTGCCCAGGGGGACGCTGTGACGCAGGGACGATGCTCGCAGCCCGTGGTGCTCTGGGCGGGTGGCACCCCGCTCTCAGGCTGGTCCCCATGGGGGGGGGGGGGACACGGTGTCCTTGGCACGTGCTGGGGGACACTGTGGTGGCCACAGGAAGACTGGGGTGCAGAGCCCGGCCCCTTTGGTGTCCCCTGCGGTGGGCAGGGGGTGGCCGTGCCCTACCTGAGATGGCTGCGGAGGTGGCAGCAGCCCCGCTGCGGGAGGGCTTGGCCGGGGGCCCTGGCACGGGGACACCCCGAGTGCACCCCTGGTGGAGCAGGGAGCCCTGGGGAGGGACACCGAGCGGTGTCACCTGCTGGGGACGTCTCACAGCCAGCGCTGCTGCCATCCTGCTGCCTCCAACGCCACCGGACTGTGGCACGTGGGGGACACCCACCGTGGTGACAGCGGGGCGCCAACGGGGCGGTGCGGGCACCTTGGGGACGCTGCCGCTGGGTGCCAGCCCCCTGCAGCCAACAGTGGGGACAAGGACACCGCTGTGCACGGCGTGGGGACGGTGGCACCCGCTCCATCCTCACGCAGGACCCCCCCCGCTGGGCGCTCGCGCGGGCCCCGGGCCACCCCGTGAGGAGACAGCCAGGGTGCAGCACCCCTGGGTGCCACCGCGGGGGGGGCGCGGTGGCACCAGGAGCACGGGGGACGTGCCGGGAGGGAGGTAAAGCAGCAAACCCCGCTGGAGGCAGCGCCAGATGTGCCCGCTTTGGCTAACGAACTGCGGCATGGCTTCCGATCCCTTGGGTGCCCCCGGGGCTGGGGGGGTGGGAATGGGATGGGGCGGGGGGCGGGGGTGTCCCCGGGCAGGACGTGTGTGGCTCCTGCGCTGGGGTGACGCTGGGAGAGGTCTGACTGGGCTGAAAGGGGGGGAAGCGGGACCCCCTCTCGCACCGGCAGCCTCCCAAAATGTGGGGTGACACTGGAGGGGGGGGCGGCAGGGGCCCTGGGGACGGTGGCTGGAAGCACTCGCAGGAGACCTGCCCGGCGCTGGGGATGGGGACGGGGGCGCTCCGTCCATCTGTCCATCCGTCCCCCACCCTCCACCGCCGTCCCACCCCTGTCCTGCCCCAGGGCCGGGGCTGGGGGGCGGGGAGGGGGCTCTCAGGCTTTCAGCTGGTGCCACTGTGCCACCGCCTGCCGGGGCCGGGCGATCATGTCCTTCCAGTGCTTCACCTCGCCGGGGCCACTCTTCCAGGACAGGTAGATCTGCGGGGACACGCAGCGTCACGCCCCGTCCCTCCGGCCATCCACCCCCGGGATTTTTTTGGGGCCGGACCCACCTTGCCAATGACATCGTTGCGGCTCAGCCTGTCCTTGTCCATGACGGTGATGACGATGGTGGTCTCGCGCAGCCGCTCCGTGGGGATGTCGAAGGAGAAGGACTCGTTGAAGACGGGGTTCAGGCACCGCTTCATCACCACCGTCTTCTTCTTCTCCACCCGCTTGTCCTTGTACATCAGCCACACCTTCACGTAGGGGTCTGCGGGGGGGCACAGCGCGGTGCTCAGCCCCAGCAGGGTGCGGGGACAGGGCCTGGTGTCCCCCCCCCCCCAGGGTGGGTGCTGGGGGTCGTACCTGACGTGCCCCCGATGTCCATGGCTTTGAGGTTCCGCGCCTTGATGATGTTCACCACGATGGAGTTGGCGGAGGGGTTGTAGCACAGCGACAGCAGCAGCTCCCCGCGGCTTCCCTGGGGGGGCACAGAGGCTTTTAGGGCCCCCCCAGGTGCACAGACCCCTCCGTGTCCCACCACGGGATGGGGGCGGTGGGCTGGGGGCACCCGGAGCCACCCCAAAGGTGGACTTTGGGACAGGGCAGGAGAAAAAGGGGCAACCCTCGGGGGGGGAGGACACATTTCTGGGGTCATTGCCACTGGGATGTTTCAGGACCGTCCCAAGTGGGACTGTTTTTGGGGCCATCCCCTGTGGGATGCTTTTGGGGCCAACCCCTGTGGGATGTTTTCTGCTCCTGTTAGAGGCAGGAGAGAAAGAAAACTTTAATTTTAGCTCTCCCTGAAATATCTCAGCCTGACCCCAAATGAGGCGCTGGGTTTGGGCTACTTAATGCCTCCCTATAACTGCTAGATGGGGATGACAAGGCGCGAGCAGCCCCGTGTGGACACCCCGCGGGAGCACCCGAGCCAGCATGCGCCCCCAGGGCGGCCCCAAGACTTGTCCCCTCTTTGGGACACTGCGGGGACAGGGGCGGCCCCCCCCCGAGGACCATCCCCACGGGCCTTACGCTGCCGTCGCTGCACGGCTTCAGGTCCTTCCAGAAGGTCTGCATCTGGGTGAGGTCCACCTTGTTGAGGGGGATGGACACCTCCCCGATGGGGTCGTTGCGGCTGAAGCGGTCGTAGTCCAGGACCTGGAGGTACAGCACCCGCTGCACCACCTTCTCATAGGGGAACCCTGCGACAGAGACGGAGGAGGATGAGGATGAGGAGGCAGCCCGAGAGCTGGGAGAGGCTCTCATGGTGGCCCCCTCGTCACCAGCAGCCACCCCGGGGTGGTGGGGCCGGGCATCCCAGTCCCTCCCAGCCCCTACCTTCGAAGAGGAAGGTCTCGTTCCAGTGCGGGTTCAGGTTCTTCCTCTTCACCTTGGTCTCCAGCTTGTGCTTCTTGTCGGGGAGCAGGTAGATCTTGACGAAGGGGTCGCTGGTGCCGCTGAAGTCCTTGGCCGGCAGCTCCTGGGCCTTCATGATCTTGACGGTCAGGGTGGACTCCTGGAAGTTGTAGCCGACGCTGAACTGGATGCGGCCCAGGTTCTCCCGGCTGGAGCCATCGTGGCCCTCGTCGTCCTCGGAGCCCGGTGAGAGCTGTGGCAGGGGGAAGAAGGGGTCGTAAGTGGCGGACGCCTTGCTCGGGGCTGTTTCGGCCGCGCCGTGCCAGGCTGGAGCCACAACCACCGCAGGGCCCCGAGCGCCGGCATCTCCGGCTCTGCGGCGGCAGCTGTCAGTGGGCATCAGCCTCTCCCATCTCACCCACAACCGTCCCCTCGGATGACTCCTGGCTCCGCTCCGCGGGGCCGGGGAGCAGCAATTAGCCAAATCCCTCCTGACAGCCCGTCCGTCACAGCCCCGGCACCGCTCCCCGTGCTGGGGACTCAGCGGTGCAATCTGGGGCTGCCGGAGGGGGGTGCGAGGGGATGCCCAGATGGGCACGGGCGAGGGATGGAGGCCGGCGCCCCTGCCCACCCATGGCACCCACCATGAGCATCTCGCTGGTCAGGGAGTTCACCAGGTCGGAGACAGAGGAGCGCGGCTCCGTCTTGCGGTCGGACTCGTCGTTCTGCGTCTGCCCGGCCACGGGTGCGGTGTTCACCGCCTTGCCGCCGGCTGGCAACCTGGGGAAAGAGAAGCAGCGCCCTAGAGCGGGGCCGGGGGGACCCCGAGGAGATGCCCGCAGCCTGGGGCGCCCCGGTGGGCTGGATCCAGGCAGAGCCGGGCTGCGGAGCTGCCGGCCACCCACAGAAGCCTGTGGGCATCCCTGGTGGTGCCAGCCCGGTGCCGGTGCGCAGGTCAGACCTCACGGCCAGCTCACCGGGCATGCCATCAGCCCAGCGAGGCGCAGCCACCGCCCCTGGCCACCTCCTGGCACCAGGGGTCCTCTCCAGCACCCCCGGCTTTGCTGCGCCCACCCAGTGCTGGCTGTGTGGCTGCACCCCGGTGCTCTGTGCTGCAGCTCAGTGCCTGGCTGATAACCATCCCCTCTCGGGTCAGCGCTGACCCACGGCCACCTTCCCCGGTGTCCTGCAGCCGGAACGCCCACCCCGTCTGGCCCCATATGGGTGTCGGGCGCCTGTCCTGGCGGCTGCGGGGATGCTGGGCATGGAGCCGGGGGGAGCTGCGGACGGACAGAGCAGCGATGGAGGCGGGCGGGCACACACCGGGACCACGCTGCCGGGAGGCACAGGGACAACGGGGGACACAGGCACACGGCGGCGGGGACAGACCTGAGGAAGGAGGGGGCGCGTGCGTGCACACGCGCTTGCGCCCTGGCCGCGGGGATGGCGCGGCTCCTACACAAGCCAAGGCACGGGGACAAACTGACAGACGGACAACAGGCGCAGCACCGGGACGCACGGACCTGGGCAGCGCTGCCCCCGGGGTGGCAAAGCCACGCATGCACACAGGACGCCCACCGACACGGCAAGCACACGCAGGCACGCGCCAATGGAGACGCCGGAGACCTGGGAGCAGTGGGGATGGAGGCGGCGCTGGGGGGTGGAGGGGGAGGCTGTGGGCAGCCCCCTCACACGGGTGTGACGGCGCACGGGGAGGATGAAGAAACTGAGAGAGCTGGAGAGAGGCAAAGTCAGGTTAAAAACAGAGTGAAGGCGGAGGAGAGACAGCGGCGACGGGGCCGGGCGGGTGTGGTGTCGCTGGAGCTGCCTGGTGTGCGCCAGCAGCAGTCGTGGGCCAGCAAGAGAAAGGGAGGAAGAGCAAGAGAGAGGAGGAGGAGCAGCGTCTTCCACCACGGGATGGCCGGCCTGGAGGGAGGGAAGGGGAGAGAGAGGAGCAGGGTGGACAGAGAGCTTGGCCAAAGGCACAGGAGACGAACCGAGGCGCTTGGCTGGAGCCGCTGGGGATGGGCTAGAAGGAAGAAGCCAAGAGATGGGGACGGAGGAAACGTTTCGAGGCGGAGGAGTGCTGGTGGGGAGCTGTCCCCTCCGCCAGCCGAGCCCCGGGGGGCCGAGGGGGCAGGGGAGGAGATGGAGGCATGAGGGCCATGCTCGCACTGTGATGGCGGGGACGGGGCTGCGAGCGGCTGCGCGGCGCTGGGTAAAGGGGGGGGGGGGAAGTGCTAAAACATGGAGCGAAACCGAGCCGAGCAGGGTAAAAATAGCCGGTGGGCGAGAACGGTGCCGGTTCATTAACACGCTGCTCACGCGGGGAGGCAGCACCCGCCTGCTTCGCGCCTCCCCAGAGACGGCACCGACACCGCCCGGGGCTCCTCTGCTCCCTGTGCCACCGGCGCCAGCTGCGGGAGCTTTGGGTGGACCCCGGCGAGGAGCCTGGTGGGGCCGCACGTCCCGGCGAGTGCTGCCCGCCCCTGGGCACGGGTGGCGGATGAGAAGCGCGTTGGGATGCGATGCGCCTCAGCTGCCAACGCGCTGTGGGGTCCCCGCAAGCCTGGCCGCGCCGTGCCCGCTCCCTGCCCGCTCCCCCTTCTCCTGACACGGTGTCTCTGCCCTGCTCGGTGCCACGGCCGCCCCAAGCCCCCCCCCGGCATGCAGACAGCACGGCGCTGGCGGCGATGAGGATGGGGATGGACGGAGGGAAGGCGGGGAGGGAAGGAGGGGGAGGAAGGGGTCGGGGTCTGCTCGGCGTCGCCGCTCCAGTGGCGAGGAGAGCTGCCGGCGTCTGCAGACGTCGCCGTGCCCGCTGCCTGGCCGCTCCAACCTGGGCGCTCCGCGAGGCCGGCCTCCTCCTCCTCCTCCACCCTGGGTGAGGCCCTGGTCTCCTCCTGCTGCGGGACTGCCCTCTTCCTTACTCATACCTCTTGTCCCCCTGAGCGTTCGGCTGGTTCGGCTGCGTCCCAGCGGGTTGCAGGTCGGGGATATTGGCAAAGTCATCTTGCTCTGAGAGTCCCAAAACCAGGGATAACACCACCATCCGGCCTTCCCTGCCCAGGCGGCCCCGCACGCGGGGAGGAAGCAGAACGGGAGAGAGAGAAAGAGAGAGGAGAACAGAGCGTCAGGCGGGGGACCCGCTGCAGCGGTGGCCCCGCGGGCAGGGACGGCAGCGTGGGGAGCACTCCACCACCGGCCCCTGCGGAGGAAACAGCATCTGGGACGGCCGAGGGCTGCGGGGAGAAAGGCACCAACTGCTGCCCAACACGGCATCCCGGGGCCCTAAACTGTGCCCGCACCATGGTGCCGGGAGCTGGGCGGGAGGGTAAAGGAGCGAGGAGCAGAAGCAGCAGACGTTAATGGCTCCGCAGCGCGGCGGTGGTCAACGGCAGCGGCTCTGCGGTGGGGAAGCGCCGCACGCTCGGCACGGCCCTGCTCCATGGGCACCCCCCCCCCCGCCAATTAGGGCTGGAACCGGCGACAAGGCTGGGTAAACAGAGAGGAACACGACCCGGGGGATGGCTAATGAGCCTCATCTATAAATCAGGAAGCCGGCAAATGGAGCCGGCGAGGAGGCTGCCGGTGGGAGCAAACAGGCTGCGCGGCGCGGCAGGTAGAGGGGCCGCCGGAGGTGTCCCCACCAGCGGTGAGAAGGGGACAAATGGAGCAGGGGGGGGGGACACGCAGCTGGGAGGGATCCCCCAGGGCGTCAGGGGCCGGTGGAGGGCACGGCGGGGAGGACAGAGGAGGAAGGAGGGGACGGAGTGTGCCGAGCCGCGGCGATGTCATGTGCCGAGATACGGGGACCGCGCGGGGCGCAGATTAGTCCTCGCCGCTGGAGGCTGAAAAGCCAGCGCTGATAGGGGAGCTGCGTTTCAGGCAGATTAAAGATCACACGCCTCCGGCAGAGCTCCCGCCCGGCTGCCCCTGCAGATCACAGCCCAGGCGGAAGGCAGGCGGCGATATCGGGGCCGCGCAGCCGGTCGCCCTGCAGGAGGGCTGCACCCCCAGGGTCACCCCCACCGCCCCGGGGACGAAGCCGGAGCATCCCTGCATCCCTGCGGTGCTGCAGGTGGCAAAGCCAGGGTGGGAGGCGAGCCGGAGGAATTTGGGACCCCCTTCCCCAGCCCCCAGGGAGGCAGCGATGGGACAGGGGGGACCCGGCGCTCGCCGCCGGCCGCGCGCAGCGTTTACCCGAGCCTGGAGGCACCGCCGGGGGAGAGGAAAGGACCGAGAGCGAACTTACAGGAAGGACTTCATGTCCAAGCCGCGGTTGCGGATTTGCCCCACCACGTGGTCCCAGCTGCCGGGGTTGGAGCGGCTGCGGCCACCAGCTGTCCGATGCTTGGAGCCGGCGGCGATGCCCTGGCGCCCCTGGCCGCCGCGGGAGCCCCGGGGGTTGCCGGCAGCGGAGGAGCCGCTGTGGGCCTGGAGGTGGCCCAGGCTCTGGCTGGTGGTGGGCTGGCTGTGGTTGCCTCGCTGGTGCTGGCTGAGGGGCTGCTGCAGACTTTGCTGGCGCATGAGCGTGCGGGGCCTCTGGCATTTGGGGTCGCCTGCTGAGGTGGGGATATACTCAAGGGTAGTGGCTGTGGACAAGGTGGAGTCCTCGAAACTTAGGGAGAGGAAGGGCAGAGGAGAGGAGAGAAAGGAGAAGAAGGTGAAGGGGCAAAATTGGAGGAAGGAAAAGAAGAGAGTTAGAGAGAAGATGCCCCAGCGCAGGGAGCGCTCCGGCAGGGGCCAGCGGCTGCAGCGAGCGGTTCCTCTGCCTCCCGGCCGCGGCACGGCCTCCCCAGCAGCACCGGGCTCCCGCGCTGCTGCCATCTCGCCGGCCGCCCCGCTGCTGCCTCCCGGGCGCCGGCGGCGAGGGGCTGGGTGCCCTCCTGCTGCCGCGGCGCCTTCCCAGCCTGCCGGCCGACCGACCTCGTCTGCGAGCTAATTAGGCTGCTGCGTGAAGGCGAATCCCTCGGTGCCCCGCGTGCCGCCCGCTCACGTGCTGCCAGCCAGCCAGCCCCGTCCCCGTCCCTCCCAGCCCAGCACCCAGCCCAGTGCCGCTGCGGGGTCTCACAGCCTCGCCGTCCCCAAAGCACCGTGCCGGCTGCGGTCCCCGCAGCACTGGGGACCGAGCCCCAGGACAGCGAGCCGAGGTGTCCCCAGGGCCAAGCCAGGCAGCAGGGGGGCGATGGGGACGCAGCGCCAGGGGAACACGGATGGGCTTTGCCCCCCCGGTGAGGGGGGGACGAGCAGGCAAAACCACGGGGTGCCCATCAGTGCCCACGCAGCCGGGGCTGCAGGCACACGGGGCGCAGCCAGCACAGCCCTGCGATGCCCACGGAGCCTGCAGAGCTCATGGCTTGTGCCAGTGGCGGGACAGGGACTGGGGACAGGGACAAAACGTGTGGCCGGGTGCGCGCCTGGAGGCACCGCGGGCGTGCAGAGCGGCTCGAGGGAGACGCAGCGCTGACAGCGGGTGTTTGCAGCAGCTGCCCAGCCCGCCAGAACAAGGGGTGTGCAGCCCAGCCAGCCTGGCAAAAGCCCTCTGGGGGTCCTCGGTGCACGGGGAGCCCCCGGCACAGGAGAGTCGCCTTCAGCAGCAGCCCCCCCAACCACGACCCCGGTCCCTGCGCTGCCCTGGGGCTGGCCGGGCGATGGCTGCAACTGTGGGGCGAAGCTGTGCCGTCGTGCATCGCAGCAGTGGGGGAACAGAGAGGGGGAGAAGAAATTAAAGAGAATAAAAAAAAAAAGAAAAAAGAGGTGAAGAAAGAGTGAGAGGTGAGAGAAAGAGAGAGAGAGAGGGAGGGGAGTGGAGAGCTGGGACGGATCCGGCCCCACGGCCGGGACCTGGAGGCACGCGGGGTGTTGAGCCTCCCCCGCGCCTGCCGCCGACCTCCTTTCGGTTTCCTATCAAATCCTAAATTAGTTCAATTTACAACCTCTCCGTCACAGGAAACTAAATCTGGCTCGGCTCGGCCCCGAGCCAGCTGGAGGCGCGGGCTCTGCCAGCACCATGCCACGCGGGAGCCGGCTGGGGACGAGGGGCACTGCAACCCCCTTGAGCCCCCCAAAACCAGCCTGGGATCCCCTGGGACCACCGAGCAGCCGTGGGATGGTGGCACCGGGATGGCACAGCAGCCTGCTGCCGGCAGGGATCATCCCCAGCGGGAAAGAACCCCCTCAGAACACCTGAAACGCAGCAAAACGTGACCACCAGCAGGCTCTGCGGAAAAGAGGCTGAAAAAGCCTGCAGGCGTCACAGCCGTCCCCTTAACCCTGCCCCTGCCAGCCCGTGCGAGCGGAGCCCGTGGTGGCAGCTGTCTGTCCGTCCATCCGTCCGTCTGCCCGGCTCCTGGCCACCCGTAGCCCCTGCCTGACCCCCTGCCGTGGTGGTGCCTTGCCTCAGCACCTCCCGGGGGGGTTTCCCCTCTCTGCTGGCACCGGGCACGGAGACGTCCCGTGCTGGACCATCTCCTCGCACCCTCCTTCCCCTCTCGCCTCCTCCCGGTGCGTCCCAGCACGCCCCAAATGCTCGCCGCTGCCTGGTGCTGCCCACGAGCAGGGGCTGCTGCAGCCCCATTTTTGGGGAGCGGAGACCAGAAGTGTGGTCCCCCCCGCAGAGCCACGCTGGTGGTGGCAAGCTGAGGATGCCCGACGTGCTCCCCAGCCGTCGAGTCCTACACGAAGGCCGTTTTTTCCCCTAGCCCTGATCCTGCTCGAGCTTTGCCCAAATCCGCCCCCGGCGTCAGAGCTGCAGGCGAGGTGCCGGTGCCAGGTCCCGCAGCGGCACCACGGGTAGGAGCACGGGTGGGAGCACGGGGCTGGTGCTGCTGCGCATCCCCACGATGTCCCCGTGCCGTGGGGACACGGCTCTTGCCCCAGGGGCGTCACCGAGCTGCTGCCCCCATCGGGGGGGGGGCCGGGGAGGCTGTGCCGGAGCGTGCGTGCTCACTCACTTGGACAGGCTGAGCTTCCCTGCAGCCAAGTGGCTCTGCACCGTGTGCCAGCGGCCCCTCGCCGCCTTCCCCATGCTGGGCTCGCTGTGGGCAGAGATGCTGCTCCTCAGGCCGTCCTCGCCGCCGCGCTGCTTCTCCCCGGGGCGGCCGTCGCGCTCCCCCGCCAACCCCGCGGTGGCCGACGCTGTCAGCTTAGCCCCTGATAACAGAGAGCCACTGGGCCGGGCCGGCGGTCGGACCCCCCCAGACGGACACGAAGAGGGGCCGGACGGACAGACGGACATGTGGGGGAGCCGTTTTGTACGGGGAACGGGGGGGGGGGACACGAGGATGGGGGAGAGAGAGCCAGAGGTGGACAGACAGACGAGACGGACAGACAGAGAGAGAGAGAGAGAGACATCAGCACTGCAAAAAAAAAAAGCAAAGGGAGGCCCCTGGCCGGAGGGTGTGCGGGGTGTGTGTGGGGGGGCTGGTGGAGGTGGCAGAACCAAAAAAAAAAAAATCCAAAATGAAGGGGGGAGGAGGCAGAGGGGCCCCGGGCCGGGGTCCTGTCCCGAACGCGCAACCCCAACCCGTGCTGCCGGGGGGCCCCGGGGCACCAGGGAGCGGGTGGGGGGGGGTTGCTCGTCTCCATGGGGCTGCCCATGGGGGGCCGGGGGGGACGAGGAAGAGGAGGAGGAGGAGGAGGAGGAGGAGGAGGAAGGCGCGTGGGTGCTGCCCATGTACTCACTAGACGCGAGCAAGCCCGGTAAGGAGGAACTCACTTGAGGGAAAGGCGCGGGTCACCGTACGGGGCGTAAGGTGAAATGTTTAGTATAAACTCCTTGGGAGGGTACGAGCTCCATTTCTGCTGCACTGTGTTGTCATTGTTATTCCAAAAGTCTCTGTCTAGATCGCTACAGCGGCCGGACACCAGGGGAGAAAGAAGAGGGAAATACAAGAGAGAGAGAGAAAGCTGAATTCCTGCCGGGGGGAGCGCGGTCCCCCCGCCCCCCGGCCAGCCGCTGCGGCCGAGCCCTGCGGAGAGAAACGGACAGACGGACGGGCGGGCGGGCGGGTGGACGGACGGACGGAGCGGGGCAGAGCTGCGGAGAGACAGGCTGGGAAGGAGAGAAGGACGCAGAGGGGTTAGAGAGCTGCCGGCGCTGCCACCCCGTGCGCGGGCTTTGGGCAGGGGGCCGCATCCTGGCGTCCTGCGCAGCCGGGTCCGGAGGCCGACGCTGTGCCTTGAGAGGGGGGCGGGATACGAACGGTGGTGACGGGAGGGGGCTGTGCCCGGGTACCCCGATGCTGGGACCCCCCCCCTTTTGCCAGTGTGGGGAGATGGGAGCGGGTCCCGCGCCTCCTGCTGCCGCCACCACCAAGCCATGGGCATCCAAGGCAGCACTCTGCCCTCGCGCTGCTCCCAAAATGCTGCCGGCTGCACAGGCAGAGCCGTGCAGGATGTGGCCCCGTCCCAGAGCAGGATCTCGGGTGTCTGCACCCCACTGAGGCTGGGGTTTGAGGCAGCCCTGGTCGGGCCCGTGGCTGTTTTCTGCCCACGGCGAGGTGCGCTCCATCCCCACAGTGCCAGGGGGTGTGGGAGCGGAGCCGGGGGCCCCTGGCTGCCAGCCCCCCATGCCCACCCCAATTCCGTGCTCCCTCACACACCCCTGGTTGTCCCAGCCCTGCAGGGCACTCCATCCGTGGGGTAGGGCTCAGCACGCCCAGCTCGGGGACACCCCTGGGGACACCACGCCAAAGGCAAGCTGGCAGGGGCACCCCAGGGTGCTGGAGAGAGGCGCAAGCCCCCCAGTGTCCCTGAGACCCTCTCCTGCAGGGGCTGGGGGATGTGGGAGCGCCTCCGCCCTGACTGAGGGGCCGGTAACTCCCCACGGGTGACTGCAGGAGTGGGGGATGCTTCGGCACCACAGGGGGACCACCCATCACCCAGTGTCCCCAACCTAAAATCGAGCCCGCGGGAGAGAGCTGGGCAAGCGTCCGCTGTTGGGAGCAGAGGGGACAGCCACCTCTGTCCCCAGGGAGGGTCCTTCTGCGGCTGGGTGGCTCGGGGCACCTCGATCCCGGTGTTCCCGCACAGGTGACGGCGGGCAGGGCGCTGTGTGGGCTGTGGCTGTGCTGGGGCCCCCACTGGCACCGCAGCCCCTGCCCCTCTCCCCCCGCCCTGGCACCTACTTGATGGTTTTCTTCTCGCTGCGGCCTCGGCTGGAGTCTGGGGTCCCCACAGTCTCCAGGGACGTCTTGTAACGCTTTCCCTAGGGGGACAGCAGAGGGTCAGGGGCAGCACGGAGCCCCCACCACGGCAGGGGTTGCTGCGCCTCGTGCCCTCCAAATTGGCACCAAATTTTACCCTCGCCTTCACAGCCTCCCTTGGGTGCCTCCTGCCCAGCGGCTGGCTCCGTCCCCATGCCGGGCACCGTCCCCAGGATGGAGCAGCAGCTGCACCCCGCGCCCCGCCACGGGGCAGGAGTGTGTAATTTTAGGCTTAATTGAAGTTGGATTAATTGAGTTCACCTTCCCAGCAAAAGGGAAGCGGTGCCATATGCTAACAAAGCCGCGCTCGCTCCTAACTGGGGCTTGTAATCAGGGCGCTGCGCCGTGACTTCCTACCGTGGGCTCGACGTGCTGCTCCCTTCCAGGGGGGACAAGAGCGCAATTAATGCTGATTAGTCAACGATTAGGAGCGGCGCTGCAGGTGCCTGGAGACTGCAGCAGGACGGGAGAAGGGCTGGGGGCACGGACCAGCCCCCACCACGGCACCCCTGGGGCCCGTCCGCGGCACGGTGCCCACGGGCGCACCGCCGCCACCGTCCCCCGAGGTGTGCCAGCACGGGGCTGGCAGCTCAGCCAGCTTGGCCGTGGCTCCCGCGTGCCATCGAGGGTTGGGGACACGGCTTCCAGTTCCCAGCCTGGACGTATTCCCGGCCGGTTTCTGCTTCTTTGCTCCTCTGCCAGCTTTGCCCTTCTCCTCCCACGTTTCGCGCACGGGCACGCTCGCAGGAGCCGCCGCCTCCCTTTGCGGGCTGGTTTGGGTTCCCCCTCTGGCTGGGGGGGTTCTCCTGTGCAGAGAGCCTCAAGAGAGAAGTCTCTGCCTTGAGAGCACTTGACCCAGATTTGGATCTTGTCGTGAAGGAAATGCAGCCAGGGCCGGGCAGGGTGGCGAGGGGGCTCAGTGACGCTGGGCACCCTGGGGTGCAGGAGGTGCTGGGGGGCGCAGCCCACAGTGGGGACAGGGACGGGGTTGGGGACAGGCTGGCTGCCATCCCACCGGGCTCTAGAAGGAAAGAGCACGCCGAGCAGGACAGGGGCCAGATCGCTGCAGCTTGCCACAAGCGCGTATCTATACGTATTTGGAAACTTCCCTCCGTGCCGCACAAACAGTTTCACCCAAACATTTAATTATCGCCTTTCCTAAAGAGCAAAATAAAAGCTGCAGCCGGCATCGCCACAAACTGTGCTCGGCGATGGGCTCTGCCTGCAGGCAGCCCCGCAACCCTCGGCCCCCCCGTGGGGCACGGCCACCCCGCTGTCCCCCCCCCTCCTCCCCGCGGGCACCCAGCCCCGGGGCCACTTACCAGTCTGCGCTGGCACCACTGGCAGATGCCACACAGGACGATGGTGACGCTAAGGCTGACGGTGATGATGGCTGAGACGAGGATGACATCGCGGGAGGGGGCCCCTGTGGGGGGAACAGAGCAGAGCTGAGGTGGAGGACGGGGAGGGACGGCCTTTTTGGGGACCCACAGCTGCCCTATGGCCACCCCAGGGCACCCCGGCTCTGTCCCCTTGGCTCTGTCCCCTGCACTGCAGCCCAAGAGCCCCCCACGCTCACCCCTCTGGTCAAACCGCCAGGGGCCATGGCACAGGGAGCTCCCCCCCAGCAATAAATGCGAGATGGGGACCCGGGCACAAGAGGGGAGGGAGACACCGGGGCCGTGTGGCAGCCCTGGCTTTGCGCCCCCAGTGCCACCCTGCTCCTCCCCACGCCTCTCCCTGCTGCAGCGGGGGGTTTGGCGGGCCCCCAGCCCCGCTCAGGCCCACCCCCGTGTAGGACCCCCCCTGGGGTGGCATCTGTGCCGTGCCATCCCCGCTGCCAGCCTGGGGTGGGCACCGGCCGCCACTCGCGCCCCAGCCAGCGGTGGGAAGCAGCGAGGCCGGAGCGAGCGTGCCCGTAGCTGTGCTGCAGTATAAATATTAAACAATAATCGTTAATAATTAATTCACCCGCAGACCTTGTTATTGTAATGAAATTTGCCAGCGGCTCAGGCGCTCGCATGAGTCAGAGAGGCTGGATCCAGCGCCCCGGCATCCCCCCGCTGCGTGGCGGGGACCCCGGCACCCCGCTCCCACGCCTGCTGCCCGGAGGAGGACGAGGGGGGACACAGCGGCCCCAGCACCGGTGTCCCCCAGCCTCGGGGGGGAATGAAACAGAGAGGCTGGGGTGATGGTGGCAGTGAAGAGGAGTTTTACAAACGCCCCAGGAGCGGCTGCCTTGGCTGGAGCTGGGTGCCTGCTGGGGCTGCGAGGTGGCAGTGCCAGCCCCGGGGAGGTGGGGATGGGGTTGGGGGCTCCCTGTGGGTTGGGGTCCTGGGACCCCCGTCAGCCCCAGCCCACACACACGCTGCCTCCTTCCAAAACCAGGCCGGGGGGGCTCCAGCGCTCGGTCACGAGGACCCGTGAATAAAACTCGCTTAGCAACTGTTGCCTAGGAGGGAATTTGGGACCAGCCCTTAATTTCAAACATTTATAAACTGCAGCCAGAGAAGCTGCTGGGGGCGCAGAGCGCTCGGCATGGGTTAACTGGGCAGCCTGGTGTGGGCAGGGACGGAGGCGAGTTCTCCTTCTGCCCCCCATCTCACCCTGCTGCTGGTCCCCATGGCCCCGAGACCTGCTTGGTGGCACGGTGACACCCGGGACACCTAACCTGGCGCTGCGCCGGACCCCAGGCAGGGGAAGTGGCATCCCAGTGC